GACCAATGAGACCATAACCATAGAAATGAGAGAGTTATGATTAATTATATGCTTCATTAGCAAAGCTAAATATGGTGCAGTGGCTGTCAGACAATTTCCTCATTTCTTGCACTAATGTTGATCCACAGAAACAGAAGTATATAAGACATTTGCGGAACTCTCTAATATGTATAAAAAACAAATTAGGAAAGAAAACTAACACCTGTCTATCTCCCAGACAAAGACAGGTTTTGGCACTGACTGGTCTGAGAATTCAGAAATATGAATTCAACTCCCAACTCTACTATGGTTTATCCAACTATATGGCACACATTTTCAAAGTCTTCAGCCTCCTAATGCTCCTTTTATCATCTGTGATTCCCAAGACTGCCTTTGCCTAATGCCATCTTGGCTCCACGAGGACACAGGGACACCTGCCTGGCTGCTGCCATCATGAGGATGTCCTKGATGCCTTAGGGCCTGTCCAGTGGCACTGAGCATCTGAATTGAACCTCTGAGGTTACTGCCGTGTTGAAATAAGAGTTTATATCCTACCCAAAAGGCCTTTCATCTGTTCTATTGAAATGTCTTTAGAGTAGGGACCATGATCTTTTGACTGAGGAATCTGAAGAACATGTAATTGTTACACAATTCGCTATATATACTATATAGTGAATATATATTTTATATCTATATCTATCTATTTATCTATCTAGATAGACAGATAGATAAATAGATACTCTTTCTATGTGTATTACTTAATAGAGAATTTTTATTATGGTATTAGTTATTGAAAAAAAAAAAAAAAACAACAAAACAAACAGAAAACCAAACCAACAGTTCAAACACTTGTTTACTGAGTAAAACTGGTGCTAACAAGTTTGAAAATGACTGTATTAAATAGTGGAGAATTTATAGTCTAACTGGAATAAAGCTAATGTGAATTAGGGTTTTATTTTTGACAATACTAGGCGGAGAGATATTGATTCAATGGCTGTGTCCTTGTGTCTAACTGCTTTATCCTAACTCTGAGGCACATCTAGRGGCAGCAACAGATAAATTCAAAAGGATCAGTATGTTTTAGATATAAGGGTGACTACTGTAGGTAGTACAGCTGTTAATGGCATMACATAGTCTGTATTAAATTTAATTAATTTCAATTTTTCTAATTTTTCTTTTAAATGCACTACAGATTTCTGTCCTGGTCACCCAGACATTTGTGTAGGTGTGTGCAAAGTCAAGACTTTRCATAGATGCACAGAGAACTTAGCTTGTTTAGCTTTTCAGATAGCATAAAATGAGATTTAGGTTTCCAAARGCATTTTAATTTAATCTTTCTGCTCAAATGAGCAGTAAAGAAATTGCTAGTACATTAACATTTAAGTTGATTAATGGATATTAATTTATAAAAAAGAGTGCTTTTCTGTTGAACCCCTTTTATTAGGCTATAAATAACCATTAGACTACACCCACACTTGCCCTGTGTTGGAAGTCAGTGCATTGTGTGCAGCCTGAGCCTGTCTGAGCAGGGCAYGCTCTCAGAACTCCTAAGGTGTGTGCAGCCAACATCACCTGAAAGCTTGTTCCAACAGTCATCACCCTTGTCTSAAATGCTGGTTCATTTCTTAAATKRTTTTGTCTGTGTCRGGTTTTCTSTCTCCCTTTTACCCATCTGAATGGGTACTTTAAGAATCCCCATTCAGAYACTCTKTGAATTCYTTGGAACTTTTTRGTACCCTTCCAAATTTTGCAAAMATTTCTTCAAACATGGATATCACAGAGTTGAAGGAATTTATTGCCTTCTCAGCAATGTTCTAATTTTGTTCCTACTCACGTTTCTAGGCAGATGTGAGGATGACTTTGGCCCTTTTTGCAGCAGTGTTTCACTTGGAGGTGTTTCTAAACCTCCTGACTGTTGTGTTACTCAAACTGGAGCCACAGTCCACCTCCATAACCCTTTGACAAGACTGACTCACCTATTTGAAAATATAATAGTATTTTGCTWAACATTTATATTTGGCTTCTCCAACTGTCCGGTCTTCTGATATTCAATAAAAACTAAAAAATTAAAATCAGTGTTCCAATAATGTTTTTACCAACTTCTTCAGCATATTTTGGCAGGTTAATGAAGCCTGTTTACTTAGGAATATTTCTCCCAGATAGATGTGGTTTAATATTCTCTTCTGTTAATAATATAATGGAAAGTCCTGTGATTTAAAAGAAAAAATAAAAATGGAAATCCTGTTTCTATTTAAATACAGAGAGAAATATTTGTTTCATTTACTGTGGTGTTCTATATCAGGRATCCTGTGTTATGCTGCAATTTTTCATATTTTTAGTACACTTTAAAAACTCTTTATTTTTCATCCAGTTAAAATCCATTATATTATGTTAGTTTGAGAAACTTCTGTTCCTGAGGTGCCAAATTTTGTTTGGATCTGGCCTTAGTTTTCCCTTCAGGAGCATCATCTGTTGTAATGGTTAGTCTATAAAGAAGAACCACCTTCCTGTGTAAAGATTACTTCACATTTTTTGTTGTACTGCTGCTCCCTTGCAGGGGTTTCTTTTGTATTACAAAATGATCATGCAGGTTTTTAGGGAACACTGCTGCATGAGTAGTCCTAAACTGAAATTTTCCAGCAACACAATTTCGATACCAGGCATGGCAAGAAATAATTCCTCCCRGTGTCCAGTTTTGTTCAGATTGATTTAGGTTATAATGGGCCTCTGCTAGTAATCTGTCACAGCTTGCTTTGTTGCTGCATTCATATTTCACATTTAAGTCTTGTCGTTATTTGAGTTAAAATTCTAAATAAAATGGCAGTGTATTTGACACCATCTTTTTCTCTTCTTTGCCTCTCCCCCATCAAAGTCTTTATTCTTTGAGAATTAATTTTTAAAACATTGTTAAATATTTAAAAGTACATTAACATAGATTTTTATGAATGAGCATTTGCAATGCAATTTGTTTGTGATTTTAATTGTTTTATGTTAAGCCTGAAATGTTGATAGACCAACACTTCTCAGTAATCTGCTTAATTTGAATAGTTAGGGGTAAAGAAAAATCTCTAATTGAAGAAGTCCTGCCAAAATGAATTGCTTAACATGACAAAATACTGATTTAACTCTGAAGATCACGTCTTTTTTTCTGAGATTTTTGAGGAGGATATTCATAACTAGACCATGTAAAGCAGTTTTTCTCAGGCTACCACATACACATGAGATAGCTCAGTTAAAAAGCACTGGGCTGAACACTTGTACACTTGCCACCACAATGGAAGAGGCATTCAAAAAGCTGCAGCTGCCCAAGCTGATGTTAGCTAGGAGCAAATATTGGTTTTCTAAAATGGATTATTTGAGACAAAAGAATCCTTTGTGTTTTGAGGAATTATATGGCAAAAAGGAGGAAAGAAATGGTCACAGAAAAATGCAAGTCAAATTTTATGTGGTAAACTGCAGGCTGTGTTTGCTACAAATTTATAGATTATTCATTACCTTTTTATTTGACTTGTGTAAAGGCTTTACAGACAYGATAAGTCTCTTCATTCAGTGACACATAATGGCTACAACAAAATGCCTTAAAATTATTTTCTCAGTGAAATTGCCATGGCTTTCGTGCTATTCACTGCTAAAATGAGTACAAGGGTTCGTATCTTCACAAATAACTTTCCAGCARTGACATCCAGTTGTATATTSTTAYTGTTCTTAATTGGCTGRGCTAATCTGAGTTCTAGTCTCTATGYTWCTAATTAAAAACAARTAAGGTAGATAAAAAYGCKCTGACAGAAGCTTAATTTTAGTAARTTAATGTAGACAATTGCAYRAKGTCTATCTGGAAGKAAAATATGGGAAAGTRTATATGCTGGTTTTCTACCTCTTGTGTTTTTGGTTKTCATATAGTTGTTCTTGCTTCCCAGTCTAACACAGAAGTTCAAGTTGCATCAAGCTTCTGTTGTTGCTTGTTATCAGTTTTTAGAAGTGGGTAGAAATATTGTTGTAATAAGACTGTGTCATGTTTACTGAGCCTTTAAAGGTGTATAGATATTATGATTAAAAAAACCCCACAGATCAATACAGAGTCTGGGATACAAAAATTATTTTGAACTTTTAGACACTGGAAATGATAGGTCCAAGATTTTGGAGCTCCCAGTATTTTTTTAATTAAAATTTGTAAAGTATTTTACCATCAGTAAACCTGAATGAATTCCACTTGGAGCAAATCTGGGCTTCTACCAGTGCTGCCTCACAATTCAATTTGTACTGGAGGCTCATGAGAAGTMCACTAATCAGAAAAACAAAATTACTGGTTTGCTTCCCTGCATGTTGCAGCTCAATGCTTTCCCAGACACTCCTATTGCTTGTTCCCTTCTTCCCAGCCCATTATCCCAAATTATCTCAGTCCCTTGATTTCTACTGCCTTATCCTACCTAGCAGGATAAGACAAAATTCACTGGTATGTATAATTTCCTTCCCAGTTAACTGATTAGCTAAGAAATTATTGTCTCTGATGCAGAAATGTTATTCAAAGCTGAAAAATGTAATTTGGGCTGGGAGATACTTCCTGCGTTTTTTTTTTCCATTCTCCATTCCTATATTCTTGTCTGTATTTGCTGTCACTTTTCCTTTCTTCCTCGTTAATTTTTCTACTCAGTTTACATTCAACATRTTTTCATTTTTTACTTAATCTTTGTACAAATAATTCTCAAAAAATTCTATTTCATCTTCCTTCCCCCACCCCCCTTCTTTAAAGAATGAATTTTGGTGTTTAGGCTGAATCTTTCACCCATGTTCTAGGGTTTCTTTGACCTTTCCCCCTCTTGTTTTCTGCACATCGTTAAGGCACCCTGTTTAACACAGGAATGAGAGAACTGGGGAAGGCCATCCTGCTGGGAAACTGTGCTGTCCCCCCATCTGTCTGTCTATCCCATAGCTCATGGTTCATTCTGGAGGGTTCTGGATGTGTGACCATAGTCACCGGTCGCTGCTTGTCTCGCTCATAACCAACCTTGGTGTTGTTCCAGGCCATGGAATCTGCTCGTGTGGCCGATGCATTTGCCAGGATGGGTGGTTTGGAAAGTTGTGCCAGCACTCAAGGAAGTGCAACATGACAGAGGAGGAGAGCAGAAGCCTCTGCGAGTCAGCGGATGGCGTGTTGTGCTCCGGGAAGGGTAAGATCTGCCAGCTGAGCTGCCCTTTGTCAGCSCCCGCCAGAGGAAAATAACCACGTTCTGGACAACTGATGTGCATGGCAGGGGGTTGTTGTTTAGTAACCCTTTCTTTCAAAGGCACTCACTATTAAAATGATGTTATATTTGGCTCCATAATGCACTTCCATCCATTTTGTCAGGTGCCCRCCCCAGCAGCATTTGTTAGCAGCGTATAATTTCCTGTGTGTGCTCAGCTGATGGTCTGTGTGCAACAGCTCTACATTACAAAGTGATGCTGGAGCTCCTTCCACTTGGAGAGAAAAGGGGACTGCCCACCATAAAACTCGAGTGGGGACGATGGCAAATGTAAAATACTGGACAATAGCAAGAGGAGGAGAGTGTTTAACAGCAAAGTTTGCTATCCTTAATCACTCTGCTCCCCAGCACAGCGGCAAAGGAAAAGAAAAAGTCTGCAACCCCCACAGATGAATCTGACAAACTTTCTCATTTGCTAATTTTCATCCTGGTGGTTGCATCAGCTTCAGTTCAGCTCTAAAAAATTGCCGCGGGGAAGAATAAAAGTTAGGAAATCTTGATAATTATCTGAAATTATTCTCTGAGGTTCTTACCTTGCAGCCTTTCAGGCTAGGAAATTGCATTAATGGAAAGAGGGCTTTTTAGCTCCCCCATAGTGCAAATTGCCTATTTTTATATATAATATGTCTGAAAGAGAGTAGACAAAAAAGAGACTGGTTGGAGGCTAGAATGCACTCAATCCAGACTCTGTGTGCCATTTCCTATATTTGTATGTCCCTTGCATAGACRGGAAAGAAACCTGCCAGCTGGAAAAAATGGTTAGGAGCCTTCTACAGCAGGCAGATTTCCAGTTTTCCCTTTGGTAACTTTTATTTCAGTGCAAAGGAAATTTAGATGGGGTTTCCAGCCCAGCCTTCATCCATCTGTATTATCACTTATCAGAATTCTCCCAAATTGCACTATTTCATTTTATTTTGCTTTTTTTTTCCTCTCCCTTCAGTTAAAAGGAATGTCATAAAAAATGAAGAAATTGTGCTGTTTCCCRATTTTTTTCCAGATGGGACTATATTTAAATTAGTATATGTGTAAGAGGATGGTGAGTTACTGAAAAAATGGAAATTATTCTGTTTTACTTCAGAAATTAACCTTTTTTTGTCCTCTTAATGTGAACCTCACTATAATTTTTATGTAAATCGTGAAGGTGAGAGAATGTGCTTAGTATCTATAAAATGCACTATGATGTAAGATTCTATATAAACTATAAATTCTGTATAGATTTTATGTAAATATGAAAAGTTATGTTGCTTTTAAAAATATTCATATGATCTGTTATCTATTTCTTAAGGATGGATGAGAGTTATTTATTCCATCCTGTGGGTCTTACTGTGAGAACAATTAGCTTTGATCATGTATATCAARGGTACAATTTACTTTGAGGCTTTGGGAGCAGACGATCCATCAGGAATTTGCAGAGATTTCAAGGATTTTTTTTCCTCTGTTGGCTACACCAGCAGGGCATGGTTGGGGATCTGGTCCCTGATATAATCTGTAGCAGCTGAAAGTTGCTCTGGGTTGTCATCAGCAGAAGGCAGGTTGTTCTTTTAGACACAATTGCATAAACAGAGGTTCCAAAGGCCCAGATTTTCTAGGTGGTAGCTCTGTTTTGAGCAGCCTTTGCTTCCTRGGGGAATTACAAACCTGACAGGCTCTTCTCAGTGGTGCCACGCGGCAAAATGAGAGGCAGTAGGCAGAAAATGATGCACAGGAAGGTCCACCTGAATATGAGGAAGCACTTTGTACTGTGTGGGTGACCGAGCACTGGAACAGACTGACCGGAGAGGTTGTGGAATCTCCCTCACTGGAGATATCCAAGAACTGTCTGGAAGCAATCCTGCTCAGTGTGCTCTGCTTCAGCAGGGAGGTTGGATTAGATGACCACACTGTTGGCCTTTCCAAGCTGATCCATTCTTTGATTCTGTAACCCTTAATCCATATTCAGCAATAGTGGTGGGTGATGGGATTTTTTTTTTTTTTTTTTTTAATGGTTTGGTTTCTTTGCCCCCTGAGCACATATTAGCTCCCAATGTCATGGAAGGTTGCCCTGAGGACAGTCAATATAAAAAGCTGTGTCAAAATTAGATGCAATAGCAACTTTATTGTAGGAACAGCTATCCACATGTAAGTATTTGTCCCAGCAGAGAAATTACCTCCATAAGACAATTTCAGGAGTCTGTGGCSAGTGAACACCCCAGATGGCTACCATCTCCTGCCTCTTCTCTGAGGAGGATGGGGACCACACGCAAAGACAGTCTATAACAGTTATGTATAACTTGTGCTGTTAGGCTCTCTTTTTCCTTTTTCTTTATTTTTTGGGGTTTTTTTGTTTCTAATTTTTGTTTGTTTGGTGTTGGGTTATTTTTTGTTTGTTTTGTTGTTTTGGAGGTTTTTTTTAGCAAATCTATTCTGGATGCTAAGATATGTATCTGTAAATCATGCCTTACTGAATACTCATACTTCAAAACACTGTTTGTATCTGGTGAAGCCCTACCCAGAAACCAAAACAGCAAATTGTTCTTCCTGATTCATTACAGTGAGAAGAAAATAATGATTACTAGTCAAATAAAAGGGAATTTTGAACCTGTGCACTAACGGTGGTTATYYCATTTTTGYTGGAAACCTAGCCAGGATATGCAARTGCTGTAATGGACCRAGGAGAGCTCGAGTTTCTGTTTGTAGGTTTTAACAGACTGTGAGGAGTCCTGGTTTTCAGCAGATAACCGCTGAAYGCTATCAGAAAATTGCACTCTGCTAATATTAGCAAAGTTGGCCGTACACATTGCTAGGCTGCCTTCAGAATCTTGGCTCGCTGACTGTGCCACCTGTGGCAAAAGCTCTTCCCAAGGAAAACAGCAACACCCACCACGCTGCTGCCTCYCTGGCAGCAAAGATAGGGCTGTGCATGGCGACTGTAACAGTGCAGGTTGTGGGCAAGGTAATGAGCCAAATCCCATCCGAGAGGATCTGGCTGGGATCCCAGGAAACACCCTGCAACTCATTAGACTCAATTAAATGGAGGAGCCTCCCAGAGCAGCATGCCCTGTTCAGGGGAAAGACTCAACACATTCATTTCCCTAACAGATTTTGCATTATGGAGCCTTATCTTCCTTGGTTGACTTGGTGTTAAATTTGCTGTATCTTCTGCAAAACAGTTTTAAACACCATGGGCATCCCTCAGTAGCAGCATCAGTGCTTGCTTATGCAGAATCACTTCAGGCTCCTTACAGTGTAATATTCTTAATAACTGCTTTAATTTCAGCAAAATGCTCATACTGTTCCTCATTATTTTCAGATGTCAGTACTTCGCAGTTTGCATAAACAGAGATATTTGGTTTAAATTACCCTCATGTCTTAGTGTACCTGTTCCAGAACAGCCCTGTGATATGTGTTCTACCCTCCACTGCCATTTTTGATCCTTGTGGGGAATGTCAGTATTTTCTATGCCAGTGGCCCAGTAAGCAACACTCAGAACTCGCAGGAAAAGCAGATGCTTAATCAAATACTTTCATCCTCGAATGTTCTAATCACTAGCTCTTCCTGAATATATTTACATGTTCCATATGTTACAAGTTAAAGCATTTCCCTAAAATTAGGCAATGAGATGATTTTTGTGAATTTAAAATAAGAATTAAATTACATATTTAATTAAAAATTAGATGCTCTGCTGAGGCAAGTTTTCAAGAATTAATTTTCAGTATTTATGGGAAAAGCAATGGAAAATTGGTATCAACAGATGAAGGGGTTTTTTTTAAGTGTATTAGGATTATTACTATGGATTTCACTGGGGTCACTGAAGGAACTGGAAAATGGAAAAGTTTTATAGGCTTTGGCTCAGGCCCTGTTAAATAACTCATGAATTCTATTTAGGTTCTATTCTGACATAACCAAGCTTCTCTTCTATATTTTTTCTTTAATAATGCATTAAACACATTGGTGACTTTTTAATGGAATCCTTCTGGAAGTATTGAAGGAGGCTAGGATTTTCAAGTGCATTTAAAGCATTTTTACGCATCTTCTGTAAAAGGTCAACAGCTTCTTTGGTGGCTTTTTTTTTAACTCTGCCTCTCATAGTTGAAAAGTGTGTGTACTCTTTGCTAAAATTAATTTGGTTTTTTTAATTTTTTTTTAACATTGATTTGTGCTGTAACCCCTTCTTAAGGCTGGGTCCACAAAACATTTTTTGTTCAGCAGTTAYTAAGACAGCATTTACATGCCTGAAATCTGTATCGGGCCAGGCTGCTGAAGATGGGATCTGTAAAAGCCAAGTCTCTTCAACCAAGCATTGAAATCATTCAGGAGGAATTACCATCTCCTTGTGGCATTTCTGGCTGCAGAAAAGCCTCTCTCACACATTTCTCAGGCCACAGACTTCCTGACACATGATTGTCTGGGGGCACCGTCACTTTCCAGTATCAGA